AGAGAGAGAGAGAGAGAGAGAGAGAGAGAGAGAGAGAGAGAGAGAGAGAGAGAGAGAGAGAGAGAGAACCTCTTGACCCGGGTGTACTGGTGGTTTAATTCTGCAGATTGTGATGCTGTATAAGTGATGTGGTGAAGATCCCCAAGAATTCTACATCATTCAAAAGAATAGAAGCACCTTAAAATAACAATAAATAATAACCACCAGCAGCTCCAAGCCTTGCTTTGTGAAGCTTTTTCCCTTTTGTTATCAGGGCTGAGAAAGACTAACCTCTTTTCATAATTTCCCCCCTGTACTGTATGGACAAAATCCTCCGACTATGCAGCCCTTGCTACTCTACAACGGATTTATCCGGGTTTCGCCCTTAACTCCGCCGATAGTGATGCCGTATATTAAGGGATGCAGTAAAAGTTCTACAGAACCGCACATCATTTAAAATAAAATCGAAAATCACTTTTCGATAGAAGTACATAATAAACACCGGCACCTCCAAGCCTTGCATTGTGAACCTGTTTACCCTAAATTTGTGGAAGCAAGCTATTCAGTATTTCACCTTTTGCTGAAGTAATGAAGCTAGGCCTTGTGATTGAGCCCTCCGAAACTCTCTTTAAGAGTAGGGGGCAGAAAACGAGCGCCCAGGGGGGAAAACAAAAAGATAAAAAAACTTCAAAAAAGAAGGTCTGTGTACGTAAAGGCGGGCGGCTGAAACGGTGCGTAGGGACTCACCATCATGGCGCCCACCGAGCTTATGTTCTTGATTCTTTTAGCTGCCAAAAAAAATTGCAGGTATCCTTTCGCTTTGATGGCCCTTCGTGTGTGGTTTCTCTCCTTCTCCTCTCGCCGGTTTTGCATCTCCGTCTTATTTGTGTACACATCTGCATCAATTGACTCACATGCTGTCACCTCTCCATTCACCCACCGCTTTGGGCTTCTTGCTTTTGCCTTTCCAATCTATCTGTGTCCGTGAAGGCACGAAGGTCAGCCTACAGGACAACAACATCTGCTTTGTATTGTAATATCTGGGACGCTGGTCCCAGTTTCCGGAAGGTTCAGCTTCCCACCAATAGATGGATGGAGCATCGTCTGAGGGACCACTTGAGGAGGCTGCCCTTGTCACCCACTCAAGCGAGTCCCTCCTGCAGAAGTTTAAGCCCACCGCCCCCCAAAAAAGAGGCACAATGGCGGGCCTGGTGATGGAGTCTCCTCCAAAAATCTCTTCTACAGAGTAGAGGGGACAAAAAAGAACCCCCAGAGAAAAAGACGAACCAAAAAGGCGCCTTGTGCATAGGGAGTGGTTGTGCCTTGAGCCACAGTATGAAAATGAGACCCCACAGCACAGTAGCAGCAGTCCACATCGATTTCTGTGGGTACTCGGAATTTAGCGCACTCTGCCATTACCCCCCTTGGTCTGGTAGGCCGAGCCTCTGCTTTCACGGTCTTGTGTACAAGTGCGTTAAGCTTTTTAGGAGAAAGGGGGGTGGGACTCGTGGTTTAAGCCGCCAGTACACAGGCACAGCCTTGCAGAAGAAGCAACCTGTCGCCACCATACTGTAGCACTGCAATTTTGGGGCCGGACCGCCATCAATATAAGGTGGTTTGGAGAATATGGAAAGAGGCAGGCAAAAATTTATGCCCTGCAGTGGCAAATTGCGCACCTGTGCCTGCCGACCAATGATTGGCTGATAGAGCACACACAATTCGAGCAACAAGGGCAGGCACTGCCATGGTGCCACAGATGTCTCCAGTGCTACCCCCAAAAAAAGCGCTCCGAGACGATAGAGCACATCTTCCTTCAGTGACCCGGGGCCGTATTACTATGGAGATGGTGGGGCAGGATTTGACGGCACATGGTCCCAAGCTCATTATGGCCATGGGACTGGAGGGCCATACTTCTGGGACATTACCCCCAGATTCAAGGAACACATTCGAAGAGAACATGTTTCACCTGGGTAGACGCACCGTCCTGTGGGTAATATGGTGGAGAGGGTGTATCCTGGAAGTAGAGGGAACAAGGGTGGAAGTTGGGGAGGTCACAGCCATTTACGGCTATTAGTACAGTATGAGATTACAGCCCAGTGGCGGGCGGCTAAGGAAAAGTTGAACCAAGTACACACCAGGGGTGATATCAATAGAATCATCTCTCAGTTCTGCCAGGACTGGTTGGGAGGGCAGAGGGAGGAGTGGGTGGCGAAGGTGAGCTGGGCAGGAGATGGGCAACCAGGAACACCAACGAGAACATCGATAGGAGGCGGAGGTGGGACCGCAAGGGGGGCAACAGGCAGAGATTGAAAGGGACTATCAGCTGCATTTTCATGAGTCGATAAAGGTTGACCCTAGGGACCCGTTACAACCAGCCTAGGAATTTGCAGACCCCTTCCCCCCCCACCCGTTGAAACGTTACCTGAATCGCTGTCCCGGGACACTACCTAAGTACCCAAGCGCTACCTGGCTCATCCATCTGGCGCCATCTACAGTGACGCCAAGCATCTCCCAGGAATTCTGAAGAACTTCTGAAAAACGAGGAACGACAATGAAGCCTCAAAAAGAATCTGGGCTCACTTCCCAGCGCATATATTCGAGGAGAGCACAGTGCAACAATGAAGCCTCAAAAAGAATCTGGGCTCACTTCCCAGCGCATATATTCGAGGAGAGCACAGTGAGAGATTGGGGGTCAGGCGAGGAAATGGAAGGAGGCTCCCGTTGGTGCCCCCCAGTGGGTCCTTCCGTTTTCCTGAGCCAGGCCCCATGTCAGGAGAGGGGCAGGACGCCTGAGCCAGGCCGCATGTCAGGAGAGGCAACAGGGTCTTTCTCGGACTGTCACACGATCATGGTTTTCTTATTTTCACCTATGTACTTCCAAAGGACGCTGAGCCTGATTCTCAGCGAAAAAGATGTATCAAAGGGACGCTAGACCACGTTTCCCGCAGGTGCCGCTCCCCACCAATAGACAGAGCAGCCCGATAGAAAAGCCCTCAATTCTGACGGTTCTCTTACCACC